ATGGTGCTTACATGAATGTACATGTGTGATAAAACTGAATGGTGGTGGTGGTAGTCCTGTAGCGTGGAGTTGGTTCAGACTCATAGTGATGCCCGTTAGTGTTACTGAGGCTGTAAATCATCAAGGTAGCAGAATGCCTGACCTTTCTCCGGTGACCTTGCAGTTGATAGCCCAGCTTGTAATCCACTATGCTACCAGGGCTTCTAATAAAACTAAATAGAAATAAATATAAACACACAAAAATTAAAGCATGTAAAATTGGTGAAATCTGAAAAACTTTGATGAATTATATCAATGTCAACTTTGAGATTGTGAAATTATGTTAGCATTGTACGTGGTGATTCCTTTGTGGGACACTAGGTAATGGGTATCTCTTTGAATTAAGGGATGTCTTTGTTATTTGGAACAACCTCATGCAAATCTATATCTCAATATATTTATGTATTTTAAACCACTCTAGTTTTAGTGTGAAGGTCGGTGGGTAATGGCAGGTGATTTATTGGCTCTTATGTTCATTGGGAGGTGTAGTGAAGAACAGGACATTTGATAAACACTAGCTTTCTTCTTAGTAATTCATTCATCAAGGGGGGTAGGAAGGCACAGGTGATGGGAAAAGAGAAATAACAAATTGAATTTTGAACTTACTGAGCATGTTTTCCATGTAAATCAACTAAACAGAATATATAAAATGAGATTACAAGAGGAAAGATGAGGAAATCCTAGGCAGGGGAAACATATACAGTGTTCTGCTGGATTTGCATCTATATACTTTCTATACAACATTGAATACATAAATAAATATTTCAGTATCAGAGTCATGTGCATATCACACAAGGAAGTATTTAGACTTAGAGGTTAAGAGTAATTTACAAAAGTATCTGAGAGAGTTTTAAAACAAGGCTGGATAAATTAAATCACATTTCCATTTTGTGTTATTAAATGAAACAGGAATTAATATAAAGGCCAAACCCCAATGACAAAGAGGTAGATTCCCACTCATAGCAATCATATAGTGCACTGATTAACCTACTGTAGAACCAGAGAGCCTTCAATACAAAACGCGATGCATCAAATCCTAAGTTATTGTTGTTAAGCGCATTTGAGTCAGTTCTGACTCAGTGACCCTGTATAGGGTTTCCAAGGAGCGAAAGTGAGCTTGAACTGCTGACCTTGCGGTTCAAATCAACCTTGCAGTGTAGCAGATTCACCTGCAGCACCACACCAGGACTCCTAAATATTAAGTTAATGTCCATAATATTATCCTGTTTTATCCTCACAAAAAACTTGAAAAGCTGAAATTTAATTATTTACAATTACTGATCAGAAGTTAAGAAACTTCAAGAAAGACAAAGGTCTAATAAATAGCCTTGTAGTCTGGAGTTTGAATCTTGATGCTTTTAAATTTTAAGCCTATATACTTTCTACTATATTAAAAAATTTATGATAGGTAGAAGAGGGGGATATTAGAATACTTTTCTGAAAATCGCAAAATTTCTTTTCTTGCTTATTTGGGACTTTTTTTGGTGGAATTAAATTTCTACGTTTACAGTTTTTAAGTATTTAGTCTACTAGAGGGAAGTTTTAAGAACTTTAGTTTGTTTTCCCAGTCTCTACAGGTTGGCTAAGCAGTATTGGCCTCAACTGACAAGTTATGGTTCCATCTCTCCAGATGCCCTACACAGCCTCTGTAAGTGCAGAGTACACAGTGTTTCCTCATATTCTTGGTTAGATAAAGGTTACTTTTCTTAGATTAATTGTTATTGTAATTAACATTTTGTTGTTGTTGTTGCTGTTGTTATTGGGAGTTTTAAGTATGTAGGGTAAATACATTTGTTAACAAATATCTTCACCTCAACAGAATACACAGGAATTAACAGCAAATATCTGCTGTTCAAAGTCCTGAAACTTACATGCTGCATTAGTTCTGACTTCACTGTCCACTAGCATAAACCCAAAATGAAGCCCACTGCCATGAGGACAATGCTGATTCATAGCAACGTTGTAGGAGAGACTAGAACTGCCCCATAATGTTCCCACTGCGACATCTTACTTCAGCACACTGCCTCATCTTTCTGCAGTGACTGATGGGTTCAAATAGCCAACCTTTCCCGGACCTTTCAGTGTTTTATCTACTACACTTCCAGTTCTCTCCAACTCCTAACAGGACTCTGCAAACTTCTATACAGGTAAAGCTTTCAAGAAAACAAAACAAAACAGAAACACAAAACACCACTTTTCCATTTCTACAGAAAATCCTGTGCAGCAACTCTAAGGTTTGTTTTTGCTTTCCCCAGGTAATTTTCTATACACTCTATTCTTTTTAGTTCTTACCTTTGCTTTAGGGTATTCCATTTCAGATTCTGAGTTTGACACATCTTGCCTATGATCTCGAGAGCTTAAAAGTCAATTTCAATATCGCATCTCACAGTACACATACTTTACAAACCAAGGGCAGCCAACCAAATCCTGGAAAAAGTAATTTTCAGGCAGAAATTTGGCTCATCTCCTTAATCAATATGGATGAAGCTTTACTATTTCCTAGGGACTTAAATATTATTACTTTATGACTATTGTTATTCAAACCCACCAGCTGCTCCTTGGAAACCCTATACAAGGTTGCTATGAGTCATAGTAGACTCAATGGCAGTTAACAACAGCATGATTACTACTACCCTTCAGGTGCTTAGTGGCTATGTGGGATAAGCGTGGACTGTGAACCACAAGGTCAGTGGTTGGAACCCACCAGCTGTTCCTAAGGAGAAAGATGAGTCTTTCTGATCCAGCAAAGATATACTGTCTCATGAATCCTATACAGGGTCGCTATGAGTTGGAACTGACTCCAAGGCACGTAACAACAACAACAACCAATTCCGTAATCTAGATTTAATTTTCAAAGGCATTTCAGCAGGGAACTCTATTCCCAATCTCATAATCACCAGAATGCAGTGCAAGTCTGAATATCTCCTATAAACACTAAAAAGGTGGATGGAGAGCAGGGGGTTTGGAGATGTTTTTGTGAGCCAATCAGTTAATGTTGATCCTTCACCTCTAAAGCAGCCAAGCTCTTGTATAGATTTAACTTCTCTCCATTCACGCCATCTAGTGGTTATAGTTGTTGCATGTTTGGTTTTAAGAAAGATTCCTGATGCTTAGGGGGGCGGGGTACGCTGAAAAACAAAACGGTTGGCTGCAACAATTTCCAGGTCTCTTGACAGACAAATCACTTACCCCTCACACAGACACCTTGAACTGTTTTAACCATATTAGAGATGTGCAAAGAAGATAAAGGGACTCGGATTAAAAGACACTCACGCCTCTTGAAGCTGACATTTAGGCAAGGGCTCCATATCGTTCCTGTCATTCGCAAAGGACAGGAAAAGGAGTTGTAGCAAAATCTAGATCAAGGAAACTGCCTGACTTTTCGACAAGTTGGATAGGTTGTTTACTAATCCCTGCACTGTGACCATCTGGTTTTCAAAATAAACGGGAAGGGAAAACACTTAAAAATTCAGCCGCGGAGCTTTGCAGGTCTAGCCACCCAGTCGCCCCCAGAAGACATCCAATTTCTGCGCGTTCCGCTGATCTTAACCTCGTTCACCAGCTTCTCCAGATCTCGCTTGCTTTCTAGCTCTCTCTCACTTATTTATCCTCCCCCCCCCCCATTTTTTTTTTTCCCACGCTCGGCTAGAACCAGGGCTCAGGAGGCAGAAACAAGGTACGAGTCCCCTTCACCCTCTCCACCACCAAACCACCGCAGCCTAGCGCGTGAAGCTTCTTCCCTTTGTTCGTCCGAGGCTCGCTCCCCTCGTCAGACTGATCCACCTGGATGCTCTCCCTCGGTGACATTTTGCGCTGGGGCTGTGGGTGGCTGGGGTGGAGCAAAAAGAGCCCTACAGAGGCGGGGGCAGAGAAAGGTCAAGGCGAGGCAAAGGCAGGCGAGGCAAAGGCAGGAGACGCCTCGGCTAACCTGCGTGGTGGGGCGTGCGCGCCGTTATTTATTTATTTTTGCCTTATTTATTGATCGTACTAGCAGCGCGGCGCTGGGATCCGAGGGAGATGCAGGACCACCCACTGGCGTGGAAGCAGCAAGTCGCCCTCCCGCGCCCCCGCGTTGCCGAGCGCCTCTTGCCTCCGCTCACGGGCACGAGTCCCCGCTGGCCCGGGCCCGGGCCCCGCCGCACCGCCACCACTCGCCTGGCCGCCCCGCAGCCCCGGCGCCCCGCAGCCCTGCACCGCGCCGCCCGGGACCTAGTGACTGCAGCCGCTCAGTAAGTTGGCTGGAGCGGATCCCCTTGGTTTTCGCCTCCCCCGCACCTTTTGAACTTGTTGCTGCTCTGCTCGCCTGCGCCAGGCTTTTGGAAGGTGAAAAGGAGGAGGGCAGCTCAGAGGGTGGGGGAAGGGGAAGAAGAGCTCGCTGGAGCTTTATTTCTGTGCCCTCGGAAGATTGCTTTCGGCGACTCCGGAGCTGCTGTCTTTGCTTTTTCCATTCCGCGTGCAGGGCCAGGAGAAAGTCTCTATGCAACTCAGCCCCAGTACGCACTTGGCCAGGTATGTACCACGGGCGAGGCGCGTTCTGCGCGATGGCAGATGTTGCTGCCGCCTTGGCGGCGGCAGCTGCCAGCTCCCGGGCTCTGTAACTGTCACACCGTACCTGAGCTGAACTTGGAAAGAGTGAAGGGGCGATTGAGCGAACCCTTTTGGCAGACACAGGGGGTGTTTGCTGACGTGGGGGAGCAGGATCTGTATTAACACCCCCCACCAGCGTGCCACAGTGCAGCACCTCCATTTCTACAAATACCGTCCGAAGAGTAGAGGCGGCCACCGGACTCCCCAAGACAGAAGTGGGGTAGCAGCGGTGACCCTGTCTGGGAAGCTACAACAGGTCGCCTTTTGAGACTCCTTTGGCGGGAAGGGGCGCTTAGAAACGGAAGGTTCTAAAGCGCTGAAGGAGAAGAGAGAATGGTTCTCTAATTTGTCAAAAGAGTATCACTGAGTGTCTGGAGTGACTGTCCTTCCTCTTCTTTATTCTACTCCACGCATACTGACCCCTCATTATCCAGACTGTGTGTGGAGGGAAAAGTCACAAACACCTGTTTGAAGAAACTCCTGCATCTGAAGTCACCAGTGTGCTGATTTTTGCCAGGGGGTTGCTGGGTTCAATTGCTGGAAGAGATTTGGAATTATTCTCTTAGGGGTGATTGTTACGACACTGTAATTTTGCTCTTATTACTCCTGAATACTTGTCTTTGAGGGGTACTTGCCCGTCTGAGTATTATAACTTCCCCAGGAGCCCTACCTTGGAGTCAGTGAGCTCTCAGGACCACGTTTCTTGGCAGTATTTTATACACAGAGAGAAAGAGGGTTCCTGTGATTACTTGGACCCACTGCAGAGGCCGGGTGATCCCTCTCCTTGCTTTCACCCAGAAGAACCATGGCGGCTGGGGTGGCAGCATGGCTGCCCTTTGCCAGGGCAGCAGCCATCGGCTGGATGCCTGTGGCCTCAGGGCCAATGCCAGCTCCCCCCAGGCAAGAGAGGAAAAGAACTCAAGATGCTCTAATTGTGCTGAATGTGAGTGGCACCCGTTTCCAGACATGGCAGGACACCCTAGAACGCTACCCAGACACCCTGCTAGGCAGTTCTGAGAGGGACTTTTTCTACCATCCAGAGACTCAGCAGTATTTCTTTGATCGTGACCCAGACATCTTTCGCCACATACTGAATTTCTATCGCACTGGGAAGCTGCACTATCCCCGCCATGAGTGTATCTCTGCTTATGATGAAGAGTTGGCCTTCTTTGGGCTCATCCCAGAAATTATTGGTGACTGCTGTTATGAGGAGTACAAAGATCGCAGGCGGGAGAACGCAGAGCGTCTTCAGGACGATGCTGATACTGACAACACAGGGGAGAGTGCACTGCCCACCATGACCGCTCGGCAGAGGGTCTGGAGGGCCTTTGAGAACCCTCACACCAGTACAATGGCCCTGGTATTCTACTATGTTACAGGGTTCTTCATTGCTGTCTCAGTCATTGCCAATGTGGTAGAAACAGTGCCATGTGGGTCTAGCCCAGGTCACATTAAAGAGCTGCCTTGTGGTGAGCGGTATGCAGTGGCCTTCTTCTGCTTGGATACAGCTTGTGTCATGATCTTCACAGTTGAGTACTTGCTTCGCCTGGCTGCTGCACCCAGTCGTTACCGTTTTGTGCGGAGTGTCATGAGTATCATCGATGTGGTGGCCATCCTGCCTTATTACATTGGGCTGGTGATGACGGACAACGAAGATGTCAGCGGTGCCTTTGTCACTCTGAGAGTCTTCCGAGTCTTCCGAATCTTTAAGTTTTCCCGCCATTCTCAAGGCCTGCGCATCTTGGGATACACACTGAAGAGCTGTGCCTCAGAATTGGGCTTCTTGCTCTTCTCACTCACTATGGCTATCATCATATTTGCTACAGTTATGTTCTATGCAGAGAAAGGTTCTTCTGCCAGCAAGTTCACCAGTATCCCTGCTGCCTTCTGGTATACCATCGTCACCATGACAACACTAGGGTAGGTACCCTTAAGGGGAATGAGATGGAGGTTGGGTATGGGACCAGATGATTATGGAGCAATTAAGGCATCTGAGAATTTAGAGAAGATAATGTTGCCTGTTCTTAAATGCTTTTAGGAAAGTGTTGTTGAAATTGCTTTGAAGGACTCTTCTGATCTCTGAAATGGGTGTGTTGTATATATCGTAGTACTTAAGAAGTTGCTAGCAAATGTTGGGTAGTATTGTTTGATGGTGATTAATCTCAAATACAAATCTGAGATTCCTGAATATAGGAAAAGATTTACTATAGCATATGTATAAATGTATAACATATAGTAACAATGAAAAACAGAAGATGTGTGTCCAAATAAAGATGAACATTTGCACAGTATATGTAGAAATGCAAAGCAAGAGCTTCTGTGTATTCAAAATCTTTCCATTTATGTTTGAAATATTATGTTCATATAAATATGTGCTTGTGGGATTTATTTTTCCACTAAGAACTATAACAGTTTACAATACTATAAAACATATCATTGTAGAGATCATTACCAAAGGACTTTGAAATGTATGTGCATATTAATATATTTGCATTTCATATGGCTGGTAGGTTTAATACTTGATAAACCTTGAGAACCAACACTGTTGAACTCCACAGAATACAGTGGAATGATATTTGCATGTTTAAGACTTTAGGTTCATAGTTGTAAATTAAGAAGCAAATGACTTCCATTACATATTTTTTAGAAACTACAAATCCCATCAGGCAAATGGTCTGTGTTCATTAAATAAAAGCAGAAGGTAGAGTAGTAATGGGTAGAATAGATAGCCACCAAGGACTGGTTGCATTCTAGGATTTTACGTTCAAATTTCATTCTAGAATCTCTGGACATTCTTTTGTTTTTCAGTCATAATGTTTTGTAACCAAAGGGACATACTCTGAATTAGTGTGTTTTTGAAAATAAGAATTTTAGGGCTAGAATTAAGATTTTTTTACTTGGCAGAAAAATGTGAAAAAGAGTAAATGATTAGTAATGGTAATCAAGATGTAGACAAGTACCAATGTTTTACATATTATTTAACCTAATAAAATAAGATGATCACAATCTTTTACTTTTATGAGTTCTTAGATAAACCAGGAAGTAATGTTATTGCCCTTTCTTCAGCTTTTCTGCTACTTTTCTTGCACAAGCAATCAGTTCAATGAGTTTGGTACTGGCTATAAAAAAGTTATTCCCAAGGCTGCTGTTTAAGTTTTGTGTTTCTGACTAATTTAATTGGCTTCTTTAAGGGACACTGTGGTTAAAGTCAACTTAATTTTATTAGTCATATTGTGTTGAATAGAATTTTTCATGCTACCATGCCGTCAATCAATGGATTATTTTATATGTGGAAGCATTTTGACTAATATAAGTCATAATGATAAAGTAAAACACAAAGATTTATGATTTTGATTTATTCTTTCACATACATTTTGGAGACATACTGGTGCATTTTGAAAATTAAATTAATACAAATCCCTTTTCCTTCTGTTTCTTTTTCTCTTTAATTCCTTTGATAAATTTGAAACATTTTGAAGATGCAAAATAACTTAGTTTTGGTGCTTATGAGTTAGCAGAGAGAAGTCTTTTTACTTGTTTTTTGTATCTTTTGTTAAGAAAAATTGTATATAATAGAATGCTATTTAACTTCAAAGTTGAAGTGTACATCAGTAGAATAGGAGGATGTATTCCTGGTGTGATGCTGTAAAATGAACACTGAACTGCTAACCACAAGGTCAGTGGTTCAAATTCACCAGCCCCTCATCTGAAACCATATTCATGGTCTTGATGAGTCAGAACTGACTCAACAGCAGGTAACAACAACAGGTTAAGGGAGAATAAAGAAACAGTGGTAAAAAGAAATATACTTCAAAAATTGTGGTATATATGCAGTTGTTTTTTTTTGTTTGTTTGTTTGTTTTGTTTTGTTTTTTCTAAAGGTATCAATGGGTCCTTTTAATGGTGTATACTTCCTGTATGGTTTACTACAGGTATTATTATTATAATGAATGCTGATGAGATTCTAATTACACTGCCTAGAAATTCTACTCTAGACATGAGAATCTAGTATTCTTTTTTCCCTGCTATGACATTCAAATCTTGTTTTATTTTAAAACTTATTTTTGCTTTCAGAAACAGAATGAAGAAATTTTAAAACTACTGATAATTTTTTAACTATATAAGTAAAATGATTACCAGAATTCAATTGTTGAAATAATTTAAGAGTCTGAATCATAATGTCTGAGAAAAAATATTTAATTTAATTCATATGTTCCATATTTAAGTGGATTAGAATGATTGAATACACACTTTCTGAGAACTTGGAAGCAAAGAGCAGTTACTTTTAAGATGTATTATTTCACAGAAGTTAAGAAATTACAATGTTAACACATTAAACTAATTAAGAATTATGATAGCAGTAATGCTTCCAAGATCCACATCTCATCTGTCAGTTTGTCCGACTTTGGTAGCTGGTTTATGTTGTGTGTTCTTGCAATGCTGGAAGCTATGTTACCTGTATTCCACATAGCAGCAGGGCCACCCATGGTAGACATGTTTCAGTGAAGCTTCTAGACTCAGACAGACTATTAAGAAACACCTGGTGTTCTTGGGAAAAAAATGGCCAGTGAATGAAATCTTATGGATATCAGTGAATGTTGTCTGTTGTGACTTTGCAAGGTGAGTCCTTCGGGTTTGAAAGCACTCAAAAGATGCCTAGGATAGAGCTGCTTCTTTAAAGGAGATATGACCTTAATGAAGGGAATAGAGCTTTCCGGACTTTGGTGTGCTGATGTGGCATAACTCAAAGCGAGAAGAAACAGCTGCAAGCTTCCATTAATAAGCAGGAAATGGAATGTACAAAATATGAATCTAGGAAAACTGGAAATTGTCAATTATGAAATGTAATGCTTAAGAGTAGATATCCTATGCATTAGTAAGCTGAAATGGACTGATGTTGAACATTCTGAAACAGACAAACATATGCTGTACTCTGCAGGCAATGACAAATTCAAGAGGAATAGTATCACACTCATTGTCCAAAAGAATATTTCAAAAACTATCTTGAAATACAACACTATCAGTGATGAGATACTATTCACATGCCAACAAGGAAAACCTTGTTAATATGACAATTGTTCAAATTTATACACCAACCACTACCACAAAAAAGGTATTACCAACTTCTGCAGTCTGAAATTGATCAAACATGCAATTAAGAAGTATTGATGATTACTGGTGATTGGAATGTACAATTGAAAATAAGGAAGAAGGATCAGTAGTTGGAAAACATGAATTTAGTGAAAGAATGATGAGATACTAATTACACTGCCTAGAAATTCTACTCTAGACATGAGAATAATTTTCCCTGCTATGACTTACAAATTTTTATTTGATTTTGAAAGAGCATGATAGAAATTTGTACTGGTGTGGTGGAATGGCACTGTAGGATGAACACTGTACTGCTAACCACAAGGTTGGTGGCTCAAACCCACCAGCTGCTCCTCAGATACCCAAGCAAGGTCACTGTGAGTTGAAACCCACTTAACAGCAGTTAACAACAAAGGTATAGAAATGCTGATGCAATTAAAAAACAATCCCTTTATAAGAGAATTAAACTGACATTTAACAAGGCATAAGCTTTATAATATGTCAAGGGTCTTAGGAAACATCATCATCAAGCATATTTATAATATATTTTAATTTCCTGAGTAAATATATATTGTTGTTAAGTACCATTGAGTCTTTCCAACTCATAGCAACCCTGTATAGGGTTTCCGAAGAGCGGCTGGTGATTTTGAACTGCCAACCTTAAGATTCAAACCGACCTTGTTGTCCAGTGCTTGTACTACAGTGCCACACCAGGCCTCTACATACAAATATATATTACGTTGTTGTTGTTGTTGCTACGTGCCATAAAGTCAGTTCCAACCCATAGCAGTATAGTGTTTCTGAGGAGCAGCTGATGGGTTTGAACCACAGACCTTGCAATTAACAATCCAGTGCTTATCCTATAACACCTCACCAGGACTCCATACATGTGTGTGTGTATATTTGTTATGTATATGTATATGTTCTGATGTGGCACTATGGGTTAATGCGTTGGACTGCTAAGTCGGTTTGAACCTCAGGGTTGGCAGTTCAATCTCACCAGCTGCTCCTCAGAAACTCTACACAGGATTGCTATGAGTCAGAATAAACTCAACGGCACTTAACAACAACAACATGCATATATATATATATATGTGTGTGTGTGTGTGTGTGTGTCTATGTACACATTTGTATGCCTATGTGGATAGATAGATAGATAGATTTGCTGTGTTATGTGCTGTCTAATCAGTTCTAAGTCATAGCAATGCTATGCATAACAGAAGGAAACACTGCCCAGTGCTAAGCCATCCTCAGTTGTTGTATTTGAGACCACTGCTGCCGATACGCTGTCATTCCATCTCATTGGAGGTCTTCCTCTTTTTTGCTGATCGACAGCATTACCAAGTATGTTATCCTTCTAAAAATATGTCTAAAGTATGAGAGACGAAGTCTTGCCGTCCTAACTTCTAAGGAGCATTGCAGCCATATTTCTTTCAACACAGATTTGTTTGTTCTTCTGGGTTTTGTTGTTGTTGTTGTTTTAATTTTAAAATATATTCAGCATAGCCCAACTTTAGCTTACCCAATGTATCTCAGACTCTGATTTATGAGGTAGTAGTGCCCATGGGAGGAGCTCTGGTAGCGTAGTGGTTACGAATCGGGCTGCAAACTGTTAAGGTCAGCAGTTCGAAACTGCCAGCTGTTCTGCTGGAGAAAGATGAGGCTTTCTGCTCCCGTAAAGATTTACAGCCTCAGAAACCCTGCACAGGGTCACTTTGAGTCGGAACCGACTCCATGGCACATAACAATAACAACACCAACAGTGCCCATGGGAGTCCTGGTGTGGCGCTGCGGATTAATGAGCTGGACTTCAAAGTCGTTTGAACTGC